TTGCTTTTTCTCAGACCAACACTAGACTCTTTTCAATGTCTCAACAGGGTTTTGTGACGCTGTTCGGCTGCATTGGAATTCGGATGATGCCAACAGCATGAAAAATCGGCTGCATTGCTTACATATTCTCGCGAGCTCCAGGGCAGTCGGTGTTGAATCGTACGGGTATGTTCCATGGCGAGCACCGACTGAAGTAGAATGGAGGTGAACACAATACTCGGGTATGTTCACCTACAAACAATAGCTGTCTTGGTGTTAAGCTTGATTTACCCCTTTGTAGACTACAAATGCTGCAGCCCAGGCCCCAGGCTCCAGCATTATTTGCAACTTTGTGTTTCCACTGTCGCATATAGCCACTATCATCATGTTGAAGAAATATAAACACCTATTGTATGAACATCCAGTAACTTGGTAGCAAGATTGCTGCAAGCTCCTTCTCTCTGTCTCTCTCTCCCCCTCCCTCCCTCTCCCCCCCCCTCTCTCTGTCTCTCTCTCTGTCTCTCTCTCTCTCTGAGGAAGGAGCCTTCGTTCGAACCATATTCTGCACCTTAGCCACCCAGTCATTCGGCGAGACACACCTGTCACCTGTGTGGCATGATCATGCATGATCGGATGCATGATCTAGAGATACGGAGTCTCTCTTTGGCGCCCAAACTGGAGCTCCCCAACTTGAATTCCAACAACACAACACGGTCCACCCCATCCCGTGGCGCAAGTGTCAGCTCAGCTCGTCGAATTGTAAGCTCATCGACTGATGAACACTGTCGTGCCACGCGGTGGATTGCCAGTGAAGTCACACTCCCTGAATGATCATGAAAGTGGAATACCAAATGTTTGGTGCTTGGAAAATGGTCATTGGGGACATGCCATCCACGTAAACATGATCATTTCAGGGAGCGTATGTCACAACGTCATCATGCTCGGCTCTCGCTGAGGACAGAACTCTTAAGTCATTGGTGCACTCGAATTTCTCCAGCAGTGACAACCGCTGAACTAGGTCAAAGTAGCGACCTGCGGTTGCCCGGTTTGCCCAGTCGACTGGCTGTCAGAGGTTCTGGAATTCACAAAAACAGTCCTAGAGGGACGTGTCTTGCATGGCTGAGCGAAGTGCCAGCCATCACGGCTATTGAAAAAAGATGAAAAAAGGAACGCTCTATCGAAAACCCTTTACAGGCTTCATCAGGTCCAAAACCGCGGCACTGTTGTGCTTTCAGCGGTCACAGCTTTTTTAGAGGGAGGTTCCTGTTGCTGGCTGGAGCGCACCTTCTGCTGTCTCCACCACCAGTTCTGGAGCGCCATCCTTTAGCAGCTCCTCCATCAAAACCTGAAGCACGGCGGGTTCAACAGATCGAGCGAGGACAGGACCGAAAATCCGGCGTTGTCACCAAAGCAGGACCGAAAATCCGAAGATCATGTGGGTCATGGCTGTCGGCCATGGTTTTGGGGAAGAACCACCTGCAACTGAACCAAGTAGATCCAAATATGAGCGACAAAATCTATGGTAGTTGTAGGAACCCTATTGGGGATGGTCATGGTCGATCCCCCTTGCTCTTTACAGGCTAAAGGAACCAGGTATTCTTCTCCCCACACGACGGAATTTGGTCCAATCCTAGTGGAGGGAAAAATCTACATCTCCAAAGGAGGAGACCTGGGAGATGGCCAGCCGTGCATGCAGGCCATGCAAAAAATGAACAACGGTCACCTAGCCAGTAGGACAGCTGAGTGCAACTCCAAGGCAGCATAGATGCGGCGCCATCTTCGACCCTGGGATGAGGAAAGGAACATTCCATGCCGCCCAGAACTCGTGAGAACTCGGAGCGTGAGAACTCAGATGCTGAGAGATGCTTGGAGTGCTGCACGAAACAAAAAATGACCAGCGTGGTCGCGCATCCAACCAAGACTACACTATACTACGCTGCCAATCCATAGGACGAGAGTCCACTTTGGATTGAAGATGATTGGACCATTAAAAACCTGTAATTACAACTAAGAGTAGAGTCTACGTTAAATACCTGTCATGCCATTTACAATCCAAATCCAAGCCAACCGGCTTTGATGCGCCTGTGGCTCAGCCAAGCACTCTCGAAGATGCATCATGATCTCTCGGCGCTCCTGGCACGGCGACTCGGCACCGCCACGGACGAGCGAAGCCGGTTGTTCCTTCGGAGCGAAGCCAGTGTTTCTGAGACTTGGGAAACCAAAGCCGCTGGCCTTCATGCGACATATGTTGTTCGACTTCTGTCTTACGACATGTGGCCTTCATGGAAGCTGGAAAAGTTGGATGTTTAAACAAACTATATATTTATATGTATATATATATATACGTATATATCAACTATATAATTGAATCAAAAACGGACGTATGTCTGCTTCACATTCTTGCCTGTGGCGGCTTTTTCCGAAAGCTTTTTCAGGCGGATGGCCCGGCCTCTTCACCCAGGCGAGTGGCTTCAACCACCAAAGCTAGCACATCCTGGCGGGGCTCGACCAAGGCTCTCATGCCCTCGTTGACCTGCACCCTGGCAGCCCGCTCAGTCCGTTCTTCAACCAATCACCTCTCAGACTCTCAGCAAGTTCTGAAGAAATGGATCCCATCATATCCCATCCTGGATCGTGAAAGGGTAAGGAGACAAAACATGACATCCAAAATATATGAATAGCATATTGGGACAAAAAACACAACGTTTTTGAGACGAAAAAGGATTCCTTTGAGACAAACATATACATGACAAAAACGATTCCTTTCTTTGAACATACATACATACAATATATATATATATATTTATTGTTTGATGTTCAGAACCGTCTCCGGGTGTCGCTGAAGAACTGGTCCGTCGAACCAAAACGGGGTCCTTGGGAACTTCAATGACCTCGGCGGGTCCGTCACTGGTGACGACGAGTCTTCTTGCTTGGATGGAGACGCTGCTTCCAAGCACTCGGTTTTTTCCTTGAGACCTTTAGACCTTTCTTTTTGATTTTTTTTTGTTTGCACCTTTAAAATCCTTAAACCTTTAGACCTTTTGTTCCTTTTTGTTAGCCCGCTGTGCCCCCCTACTACTTAAATGTCTGGAGTGCACAAAATACCGTCAACAAGCGGCTGCTCATGGAGCATACCAGGGCTCCAACGTTTGATTCGGTGGCACGCTTCAAATCTGCCTGACATTGTGCCAGGCCTATGATACTGTGCTGCTGGTATGCTCCCATCCATCAATGTTCTTCCACACGGTTTGCTTCCAGCTCGAGCGGATCTGCTCTGGTTTAACATATCACAAAACTGAACAAATAGAGAAGGAAGGCAGTCGATTGAAAGCTTTGGCTCAACAAAAGAAGTGAGAGCCTGCCTTTATAATAATCGAATGAAGAGCCTACACCTGTGTCTGAAGATCTGACTTGTGCATATAACATTATATAACCCAGACCATCCATGTATGGAATATATGCCTACATTGACCCCTGAACCACCCCAATGTAGGTAAAAAGGATGGTCTGGGTAATGACCAGATCTTTCCCGTATGTGGCTATCTTTCTGACTGTGCTTGCTTGTCTGTCTTCTTGTGTAGCAAGGCGCCTGCAATGGAGTCTGATTACCTCCAGTGAAGCGTTGTAGGAAGGCTGGCGCCATTCCTGCGCAGATCTCCGTTGCGTTGCTGGCCCCCCGCAGCACTTCACATGGCAATTGATCATTTCCGAAACACCTCCGATACCTGCCCTTTATACTAGGAACAAGGACGCTCCTAGGGGCTCTTGGCCTTACTGCTAGGAACAAGGACGCTACTAGGGGCTCCTGGCATCGCTACTAGGAGCAAGGACGCTACTAGGGGCCCCGGGGCTCCTGCCCTTACTACTAGTAACAAGAAGCTAGTAGGGGGCTCCTGGCGTCGCTACTAGGAGCAAGGACGCTACTAGGGCTCCTGGCGTCGCTACTAGGAACGAGGCCACTACTAGGGGCTCCGATACCTGCCCTTTATGTCAAAACCTGGCAGCTCAGCTAGTCAATGTCAAACTTGCATCCAGCACCGTCACTCGTATCACCACCTTTGCAGTAGAATGGCTAACATTCAGCATTGGTCTTCAGAGACTATAATATATATATATATATTTGTATATATATAGGATTATATAGGCATGCACTAGAATAAAGAGACACCACAACGAACCTCTGCCTCTTGGGAAAGCAAAGCAACCAATTAATATACATATATACTGTGAGTATATATAGTTAAAGTTTTATAATATACTAAATTTAAAACCATCTAAAACCCATTGGTTTCAGTCTGAGACATCTCCATCTTGGCTCTGGCAGTCGACCGGCGCAGCTTTCCTCGGCTCCGTTCGTTCCCTCGGCTTCCTCACCGGGCCGAGCCGCTAACGACACCCAGCCGCTCTGGAGCCAAGACGCGACCGGGTCGAGAGACGAGCCCCTTGGCCCGAGAAACGATGAAATTGATGCATATGAGTCATATGAGTAACATATATCATAGTCATATATATATATATACCCCCCCCGGGGTAGCTACCCTTTTTGTACTTTTACATACTTTTACTGGTATTTGCTCTTGGGGCATCAAAGAGGGAATGAAGGCCTCGTGATATTCCAGGTCAGTGCACATGACTTGGTGCAACTGACCTATTCACCAAGAGCACGGATGTGTTTTTCTCTTCGTGCCCCTCAAAGCTCGACCTCCTGGAAGGCGGAAACTAGACCAGTCTACCCAACCCGAATCGAGAAATGATGTCTCTCCCTATATACAAAAATATGCACCCCACACATCCCCCATATCGATCTCTGATCTTCTCACAAAAAAGGGGGGCCCTTCGGGGCCGTTCGGGGCCCTGTGGGACCTGGGATCAGAAAACCTATCCTCCAACATTCCTCCATCAATCCTCCTTTTTGTTTTTTCCCTTTACACCTTTAGACCTTTAGAGCCACGGACTTCAGGCGATCCGCGGACTTCCTTGGTAGCTTGGGACCTGCTTTGGGACCGCAGGTATCCGCAGGTGGCATCCTTTTCTTCCGCGCACCGTCCAAGCCGAAGAGCCTCGGAGCCGCTCAGGCGATCTGGTGCCTCGTCTCGCGGACGTTCGTCTCGCTGAACGGAGAACCACGAATGGAATGTCCTCCTAAACTTCCTGGTTCATCAGGATCATTTCAGATGTCAGAAATCAATAAACAATCATACATCATAGATTCATAGATCATCATAGATCCACCCTTTGCAACCCTTTCCTTGGCTAACTGCCTTCCCTAGATTGGTTAGTGGATCAAATACTTCTTCTGCCCCAGTTATTGCATGCCTCTCAAAGAACCTCCCTTAACCGCCTTGCCTGGACTCTTCCCAGTGCACATGTGTTGCTCCCCTAATTCACTTGGTGAGGCCAGTGGTAGGAAGTCGTCGGTCCGGGAAACCTAGCCTCCTACAAGCCTATAGGTCTTGGAAAACCTTGCTGGGAATGGGAGCTGGCAAGGGACTTGTCAAGGAAGGTCGGATTTGGCTTGGTAGCCAAGTAGCCTGCCGAGCACATGCAGCGCATGACTCGATGCTGAATGTGTGTGGTCTCTCTCTCTCTCTCTCTCTTTCTCTTTAAGTTATATACTTGTCTAAAACTGGAGACAAATATACTGCAGGCTTCAATGATTGCAAGAGCCTTCGAATGCCAACACAAACTATACTCATACTCCAACCACTCGAGCCTTCGAATGCCAAACTCCAAGCGTCAACACGAAAGCTTGCACCGTCTGAGCCCGACCGCCGTCTCACGCCTTGTTGCTTTGCGCGCAGCCCCAGCGGGCGCTCTTCCGTGCGCTTTTCCACCGGCGAGGCCTGCGAAAAGGGGAGAGCGAGCGAGCACGGTGCTGCTGTGTTCTGCCACGAGTTTCGTGGATGTTAAAAAAAGAAGTACAGTACCTACAACTTGTTGCAATCGTAGTTCTTAGCTGCGTTTGGGTGACCGTAGCAACCTGTTCTAAATGTGGCGCCAAACAGCGTAACAAAGAAACACTATTCCCTGCGCCACCCCCCACGGGACGTCCCCGCAGTGTTGGGATAGCATTGTAGCGAGCAGCTCAAGCACTTTCAAGAGGAGTGCCCCGGGGGGGAATGTCAGGAGTGCAAACTATAGGTAATGGACGGTAATGGACACTGAATGGGCACTGGCATGCAGAAGTGGAGGTAACTGCCTTGGCAATGAGGACTCCCATGACCAGGACAAAGGTCCCAAGCAGTTGTTCTCCACTGCAACCTCACCACACTGTTTGCAGAAAAATGCAGCAAAATGCGGAAAGATGGAAAAGCATGTTCCAGCGGAGAGACCTTCATCCAACCATACAGCCGCCAAGATGAGCACCTGATGCGCATCTCCCTTTCACTCAGACCACGAACAAAACTGCAACGCTCAAGCCGATTGAGGTTCATCTATAGCAAAAGGAACCTAGTGATGGCCTCCCCCTAATAGCGATGCCCATGGTCTCCAACCTATAATAGCTTCTTGTTACTACAGGCGAAAGGATTCTCAGTGAAACGATTCCCATGTACTGCCAAGGGACAAAAACCAGCTGCAAGTTGCCAAACATATGTTGCATCACAGGGCCCAAGTATCGCACTGAGGTCCATTGAGACCTCACACCGTGTGGACACCTTTCGTCCTGCCATGGGCCTATGAACCGTCCCAGTTTTTGCAAACGCACTGAGGGCCAGGCAAGTTCAGCAAAACTGCAGCAACGCAAGAAAGCAAGGTGGCACTCACAGCATGCTTCGAGGCACTTGGCAGTCGCCGAAAGAAGCCTGCAGTGGAAACTGAGGTTGCCAAGTAACGCTTCAACTGACTGATGACGACAAAGGCCCTGTTGTTGCAAACATTTGCAAAAGCATAGAGAGTCAATGAAGGGGTGCAAGGCGTCCAAATGCTTCCAGCTTACCCACCTTGGGGCTATGCATGCATGGGGTAAAGGACGCCTGCTCCTTCCTCGACGATCGCGAAGGGGAGCGTCAAAAGGAGGGTCCAAGCTGCTCCCCAAGCCTCATTTGGGCGCTTACAGCTCGGATCCTGTGAATCCACCATTGACATCCATTGACAGACTTATCCTTCTGTTCGATGAACACAAGTCAGCTGTACTCCAAGTCAGTCTGCCATCCTAAGTCATTCGATATCATTAAATTATCGCGACAACACGTGGGCCATACCACCCAAGAAGATAACGAAGACGTTCTTTTTGAACCGCTGCTGGATGCTGATGTCTTCATTTATCAGCTATGCACCTCCTCTGCCAATTCTTTCTTTGGTGAGGGTGGGTGGGAAAACAAAGCCATTTGACCTTGCAGGGATAGGGACTTGAGCCAAAATGGCATCAAGCCACTGTCCCCACCCAGGCCCTACTCAGGGTTGTCACCCAGAAAATTCCATTCTTCCATTTTCTTCTCAGACAACACGTGGGCCATACCACCCAAGAAGATAACGAAGACGTTCTTTTTGAACCGCTGCTGGATGCTGATGTCTTCATTTATCAGCTATGCACCTCCTCTGCCAATTCTTTCTTCCGTGCTCTGCGCAGAAGAGGTGCATTTCAGACAGTTCACCTTCGTCACGTCCATCCCGAAAGTGAACACCGAAGCCCCGTAGAACCAACCGCACTTCGTATGCCAGGATGTGACGGGTGAGGCCACCGGCTGCTTCTTGTTCTCATGTACTGTTCCACTCTTCGAGAGGATGACTGGTGGTAGTAGGCCTTGATGATTGTTGGAGATCTCCTCCCACTTCAAAATCGATGCATCGAGCTGATCTTGTTTGTCCTTCAGCCTGTCCAGCTCTTTCTTCAACCTCTTCTCCGTTTCTTTGCCTTGTTCTTCGCCCTTCGTTACCACCAACTTCTCCACGACCCGTTCATTTCCTCCTCTTCCCGGGTTCACACCTGCTAGGTTGATCGCCTTGTTCATCACCGGCATGGTTTCCAGGGCCTCTTCCGCATACTGTAGGATCACGTCGCTCTTCCATCTTCCCAGAAAAGCCACCTGGGGCACGTGCCAACCCCGTCTGATGTATTGCAAGGCCCCTGACCTCCTGGCGGAATGCCCTGAGATGCTCTGCCCAAATAAGTTTCTCCAAGCTCCTATGATCTGGTTCTTTTCTATTGCACCTTCGCTGTCGCCATGTACTAGATGATCCTCCTCGATCGGGACGTTGTCCAAAGCTGCTTTCGAAATCGCCAAAGGGCAGGGTTCTGACCAGTCGCATTCCTCCGGGCAACAGCACTGCAGAGTCCTTTTCAGTCCTTTGGCTTCCTGATCACACTTCGTGAGCCTCAGGGTCAAAGCCACCGTCTTCTCCTTCTCGTTGATCACGATGTCCTCCTTGTGGACTGCCGCCAGTTCCACCTCCCGCAGCATCCAGACGGTCGCAAACCCAAACATGAGGGCTGGTCGGTGTACTGAGCCCTTCTGCTCTTCGTTCGTCTCGATCTTGCAGGCTTTCATCCACTCCACTTCCTCCACTTCAGCCGCCTTCTTCACCGGCCCCCTTGCCCTCTTCAATGCTCGTGCCACTTGTCCGAATGTCCTTTGTAGTCTCTGCGACCACGTCTTGCCCGCTTCAATCAACATCTGCTTGTACTCCGACAAGTAGGTGACCCCTGCTTTATAGTCCGCTTTCTTGAGTACTGCGCCCACTCTTTCCAGTGTCTCCTCCGACCATTGTTCTGCTGTCCCCTTCGCGCCCAGGTTAAGCAGAATCTTGTTGACCGTTTTGCGCACTGAAGCCTTTGCCCTTCTCGAGGAGTTCGCATAGTAGCCCTCCTTGAAGTCCTGCAGGCTCTTGTCCCGTTGCGGTCGGTTCAACCTGAAGATGCGAGCCGTCTGTATTGCTTTCTTCCACTTCTCATTCTTCTTCACCCCTTTTGTTCGCTCCGGTTCTTTAGGCATGTCCTTCCTCCGTCTCTTCTTCTTCATCCCTGAGCCTTTACCTTCGTCGCGTCCACCACGTTCGCGATGTAGCCCCCGTCTCCCCTGAGAGCCACTCGCCTTCAGCCTCTCCTCCCTTTCCGGTTTCTCTTTCGAAGTCCTCCTTCTCTTCACCAAATGGAGCAATCCCCCGCTTGATTCACTCCCCCTTGACAGCACTTCCATTGGAGGTACCGGTGGAAAGCTGAAATCGAACTTCTCTTCTCCCCATTCTTCGCTCAGTCCAAAGCCTTCTGCGTCACGATCTTCGCCCGGGCACACCTCCCTTTTGTCCGCTCCAAGTCTCACAGCTGCCAACTGTCCTTTGTGTTGAGTCTCCTGGTCACCAACCACTGCATGTCCCTCGACTCCCTCACGGACTCCCTCCATGGTGAGTAGTTCGACCTCGGAGAATTCGACCTGTTGGTTGAAGTCCCTTCCAGTGCCGTGGTTCTCGTGGAAGGTGTGTCCAGCAAGTTCGGTGTTGAAGGCTCTTCTGTCCCCCTTTCCCTGCTGGCCATGTTGTTCAGCAGGTTCCTCCATGGCTCGGGTTGGGGTTCTTCTGGCCTGGTCGACCTTCGACGTATCCCTGACGCCGGCCCCCAGTCCAGGTACGTGTCGAGATAGTCCCGTGGCTGGTCCATGTCCCAGGCTTCTTCCCACTCCTCGTCTTCGGAGTCCAGGGTATTGTTGATGTAGTTCTCGGTTGACTTCTCCGCCTTCCACCACGTCCATGGGTAACCCCGCGGAGTGTGGAGTGTCTTCCACCATGCTATGAACTTCTTGCAGCCAAGCCAGGCTGCCCCGACGTGCGCGAAGATGCCGATCACGATGAGGTAGAAAGCCCAATAGGCCAGCCATGGTGCCGGCTGCCCACCGAGTTCCTGTGGGCGTAGGACGATCGCGTCCGCTGGAGCTAACTCCATCCTTGGGCCCTCACCACGTGCATTAACACACACAACTCACGAATCGGCTCGATCGACGACGTCGCACACCAAACCGGACCTTCAGCCTTACCCTTCAAACTCTTCCGCCGCCTCCTGTGTCCCTTTTTCAAACGATTCCTTCAGAATCTGGCCATCGAGTTAACGACAGGCCCAGGCCGCCACTAAGGCCTCGCCGTCCTGCCAGTCGGCAGTGTCGGGGCCTGGCGGGTTCAGGCGGTACCACGCTGCTGATCTTTCCTGGGGCGTCTCGATTGAAATGCCCTCTAAGGCGACCGGCAAGGTGGTGGTTGCCCAAGTGTTTGGTCTGCTCAGGAAGTCAGCTTCCTTGTTGGCGACCCCAGGGAGATGCGTCGGAAGGAGGTCCGACAAGCCCAGCGCTTCGCACACCACCGCCAACTCCGCCCCCAAGAAATTCAGAGAGGCGTTACTGTTTGAAAATTTCTGAGTGAGTGCCAGCGCTGTCACGGAGTCCGACTGTACCCCGATTGCCACGTTCACTGCGGCCAGGAGCTTACCCCAGTGTTTGAGGGCCACCAAGATCGCCAGCGTCTCTGCAATGCCCTGCGAGCTTGATTCGCCCAATTGGAAGCCCAGCAACTTAGCATCCATCTCGTTGATGGGCGATGCCAATGCCTTCGTGACTCTTCCGTTCACCAGAAGAACAGCTCCGATGCCCAGGGGTGCAGCGTCCGTCATCACGCTGGCCTCCGCTTTGCCGCTCTTGTACAGTGCGTACTTGCGGATCGGTCTTTCCTTCGCCGCCTTCAAGTAGGACAGGAGCCAGGTTCGTGCCTTCTCCACACGCTTCACCGGGATGAGATGGTCCTTGGAACGGCTATCTTTCCTTTGAGACCTTCGAGCTGCCTCCACCCCTGACTGAACATCGTCCTCGTGGCTGTACAAGGTCGCATACAGCGACGCGGTGACCCACCTGGCTCGAGGCAGCACGCCCGCCAGCCAAGCCACCCTGCCAGCTGCCTTTCTTAGCTCTGCCGTCCCAATCATTCCTTTCTTGTCCCAAGCTTCCAGCTGTTTTTGGAGTTCATCCATGAACTTTTCCGGGAGCGTGACCAGCAGGTGATCGTAGTCGGGCGCCACTAGCTTGAAGTGGATTCCTATCCAGGTCACAGCCGCTGATCGTTCGCCCTTGCCCAGAGACAAACGCAGTCCGAGCGCTGCCATCGTGTGGATGATGCACGACAAGGTGTGGTTCCTCTCATGCAGCTTGCCCCCCAGCACCCACAAGGAATCGTCCAGGTATACTTGATGCATTCCCCGTTCCGCCGGTATCATCGATTGCAGCAGTCGGGCTATGCAAGCTGCCACCCGGCTCCAGGTCAGTGGTGCAGTTTTGAAGCCGAAGAGGAGAGCTATGAACAGCAACCAATGCTCGTCGTCCAAAGCTGGCGCTAGACAGTGGCCCTTCTCCTCCTCCGCCACTGCCAAGTGCATGTAGGCATCGGATACGTCTATCATCACCAGCTCCAGGGTCTTGTCCTGCGGCCTCACCAACTCGGCTTTCGACGCATGCATCCTCCGAACCATCGCTATGGCGTCCGTGGGTCTGGGCAAGATCAAGCGCTCGGGGAGTACTGCTTTCCTGTTACCTCCTGACCTCCTCAAGTCTATTATGATCCTTCGCTTCTTCGCTCCTCCCTCCTTCGTCTTGACGATGAGCCCCAGCTTGGAGATTGTCGTACCTTTGAAGCCCGCCCTTTCGACTTCTCCTTTTCTGGCCTTGACGGCGTAACCTCTGTCAATCAGCCTGTCGATTTCTATCTTGGCATCTTCCTCCTGCTCCCTCACTGAAACGTAGTTGCCAATGTCCTCCCTCAAGCCTTGTGCAGCTTGCCAATCTTCTGGGCGTTGAATTTCCTCCTTCAAAGCCGGTGGGAAGATGTTGCAAGTCTTGATGGGGACGTTTATGCCAAGGGGCACCCCCTCTTTGATCCACCGGTGCACCTCCGTCTCCGGGTCCCCTCCTCTTCGGCACCATGCTTCTATCAAGTTCCCATCCATCGGAGATTGATAGGCCCATTTACCTGTCAATTTGATTGCTGGTGCCCCCTTGGCTCCTGTCAGCTTCCGCAGCTCCTCTTTCCATCTTTCCACCAAATGTGCTTCTAACTTGCAGTCCTCCGACCCATATTCTTCGCCCACCTTCAACACCTTCGGGTTGTTCATGCAGTGCCTCTCCCAAGCTCCCCAGATGCGGCGCCCCAAGTTCTGCAGCGTCGGAATCCCTTCCACCACTTCCATCGGGTTCTTCATGCCGCCTACGAAGCCTTGCTGGTCCAACCTCTTTTCTTTCTGCTTCTCTTCCTTGAGCATGCCATACTTCCCTTCCCCCGGCTTCCAGCGTAGGTCCACCTTCTCTCCTCCCTTCCTGTCTCCTCTTCTCGCCTCGCCGCGGCTCCTGCTTCTCCTTGAGGCCGACCTCCACCTTTTCTGTGCCCTCTTCCCCTCCAGCTTCCTTTCCTCCTCCTTGCTCTTCCTTCTCCTCTTCTTCTCCTTGTCCTCTTCCTCTGCCTCCTTCTCCTTCGCCTTGTCCCTGCTCTCTTCCCATCTTCGTTTTTCTTCCTTCGTCCACTCTTCATCAACTCCTCTCTGAGCTTCGGGTGTAGGCGACAATTTCACCCCTTCTTTGTTCCTTCGTGTCCTCATCGATGTCGCCTCCGCATCACCCGTTGCTATCTCGAAGTGCTGATGTTCTTCTTCCCTCAACCTCCCTTCCAGGTATTCTGCCGTCGCCATCTTCTCGAAGTGGTCCATCAACAAATAGGCATAGGCCCGGCAAAGTTCGACCGGGTACTCCCCCGACTCTTGGGATTCCTTCTTCCCGATGATCGGTCGATGTTTGGCTCCTCCGCATTTGCAGTCCCTGCTCAAGGATTCGATGCCGTAGAGAGTACCTGCAAATTGCTGTGGCTTGAAGTGACGATCACCACGTGCCCGATTTGCTTGGAAGGCACACGTGTTGAATTGGGCGACCTTGACACCAGCCATGCGCAGGTACCCCACCATTTCTGACATCCCCCAAGCCGACAGGTGGTCCTCGACGTCCGATGGAGGAGGGTTCTCCATTGATGTTGGTCTGGCCACTATCGTCGATGTGGGATTCTTTGCCAGTTCTTCGGCCAGCTGAACCGAGCGCGCAAGCATGACTGTCCCTCTGTCGCATTCCGCTTGCTGAGCTTGGGAGTTGGACTTCTTCCCGTGTGGTTCGCTTCGAGTTCGAACTGGCTTTGGAAGGTTTGGGGCATCACGGAATCTCAGGCGCGAAAACGTCGAGCAAGGGAATCCTGAGTGGTACCCATCGATGAGGCCCTCCTTCGCCCACCTGAGATGCGTGTTGTAGGGCTCATCCAAACATAGGTCCTGGCCCCAATCTTTCTCCGCCGCTATCACCTCCACGTTCAAGCCTCTTTTGGCAGCTACCTGATGGATAGCTGCTCCAAGTGGGTCACGGGGTCCTGCGAAGTGATGTAGGAAGCGGAATCGTCTGGCCTTCACATACTTCTGTATCTTTTCTTCCAACCTCTCCTGGGGAGATTTCTCCTCCTCCTCTTTCTTTTCTCCTTTCTTTTCTCCTTTCTCCTCACCCTCATCCTCCTCTTTCTTCTTCGCCTCACCTTCGTCACCTGCTGCACGACTGTCTCCGGTCTCCTTCACTTCTTGGCTTGGCACCTGATTGCTGGGTGACCCGGCAACCCACAGGATGAACACTTGTGAGCCCGCTTCACTGCGTTCGTGCACTCCGCTCCTGGTGGCAATGATCCACACGGACTGTTCCCGTTGTTCCATGAGAAGCAAATGGGTTCCCCTTGCTTCCCTCCTTTTCCTTTCTTGCTTCCTCCTTTTCCCCCTCCTTTTCTCTCCCAACTTGATTCGCTTCGGGCTTCTCGAAGTCTTTGGAGCTCTTCTCTTTCCGCCTGCCATTTCCTCTTCTTCGCCTCCCGTCTGTCTCTGTTTCCTTGCCTTCTCGCCGTGGGTGTAGCCGCCGGTGAAGTTGAGCCGAACGTCCCAGACTCCATCGCTGGCATCAACGAGCTCGTACCTCCACGTAGTGCGTTCTCGGCGATCGATTCCTGAGGGGTCATCGCTCTTCCTTTCGCTCCGCTCGCAAGCCATGTGAGGGCCGGACTGTGTATCTGGTCCTGCCAAAATTTCATTTCGTTCGGCACCATGCGAATCAGGGCTTCCCATGGTTTCTTCTCGTCGAAGTTCAAAGGGACCGGTTTTCCTTCTTGCTGATCCATCGCCACCTTCAACTTCAGCCTCGACAGCAGTTCCCCTCTCGCCATCTCGTCCGCCGCGTACACCAAATGCCAGGCGTCCGGATATAGCCGAGTCAGCTTCTCCACGTACAGCTCGTAAGCATGGAGGGGGGCCAAGGCGCATTCCTGCAGCATGATCATCGCCGTCGTGAACACCCTGAAGCATGCCCTCCATTGAGTGAAGTTGGCTGGACCCGGCAGTTCCTTCGACACGTAGCCCTCGGCCGTCGGTACCCAGGTTCTGTACCTCGAAGCCCTCAATGCCTTCCTTCCGAATGGCACGAACACGCCAAAGTCCGCGAAAGGAGGTTTTCCCATCGACAGCTTCTTCTTCAGGGCCGAGAGTTGTTCTATCGTAGGCTCTTCCTCCTCCTCGGGCAGGGATCCCGTCGTCGCGATGTACTTCTGGAGCAACGTCATCTTCGCTTCTTCTCCCAAGACCTCGAACTCGCCGTCGTCTCCTTGGTCCAACACTTGAGCGAATTTCAAAGTCCTGTCCTTCGTGGCCTTCGCATCCGGGTCGATTGAAGTGGGTCTCATTGGGCTCGAAGAGGATAAGTCGTTCAACCCTGAGGTACTCCATGGATCTTCCTCCACCCAGTTGTCCCAAGCACCTCTGCCCTTCGTGTACATGATCTTCCTCGCCAATTTCCACACTAACCCCACATGGGCGGCCTGCACGGCAGTTAAGGGGACATCCGAAGGGAGCATGGCCTGCGACAAAGCAGCAGCAACCACACTGCCCGGAAGGGCAGCGAGCAATCGCAAGTCGTTGCCAGGGGAGCCGGTCTCCTGAGTGAAAGCTTCCCAAAGCTCCGAAGTCACTCCAAAGTGCTGGAGCAGGTCGTCGACCGACTGCATCCCCAAGGCCGTGGCTGCCGTAGGAAACATGGCAGCAAAACCAAAAGCAGCCCGCGAGGAAAATCCCCATCCTACAAAGCCATTTGACCTTGCAGGGATAGGGACTTGAGCCAAAATGGCATCAAGCCACTGTCCCCACCCAGGCCCTACTCAGGGTTGTCACCCAGAAAATTCCATTCTTCCATTTTCTTCTCAAAGAACTCTCATAGACTCATATAGTCATAGCAAATCCATTCCAAGTTTAGTCATGTCTGTGTAAATCTTGTTGCTTCGATCACTTCCCATGTTCCCCCAGTCGTGATGCTCCCTTCGACCTCCTGAAACCCGAATCTTGAGACGCAAGGCACAGCCAGTCGTGCAGGACCCAGCTGGTCAATTGAAAGCAACTGCTGCTGCCAAATGGACTTGGCACTTCCTTGGCCAAAGCGTCATGTCCATCTGCAGGTCTCCCCCCCCCCGTCACCAGCTTCGCCCGCAACGCGATCTCTTCGATCTCTTCGAAATGGTGAAGCTGAGCCCGCAACGCGATGCACAGCCCAACAACACCAGAAGGAGCGCCAGCATGGAAGCATTCCGCTCACCACGGACACACAAGGCACCTTCCCATTCCGAAAAGCGAACAGATGAAATATGAACGTTCGTGTGAACCGTGAACCGATCCATCTCGGCAAAGCAAAAAAGCACGGCGGTACTTTCAGAAAGTGTTGAAATCCAAAGCTCTGCGCTGAAACCTGGGATTTTCCCCCAATTCCAAACCAAAAAAATCCGGCACGTAAGGCGAGTCCGATGTTCATGTTCGCCTCCAAACCAAGCCATGAGAACGGGGACACCACTCTTCCAGGTCGCTTGGCGATGCCCCATGAAGAACTCCACACCTCGGGCGTTTCGACCGATGGCATTGGATGACCATGGGCAGAGTTGTTTCACAGACGTGACACCCTCCCAAAAAAAAGACACAAAACGATGTGTAAGAAGCTGAAGCATGTCAACCTTCCGCCCACGGTGAACTGGAGTATTTGGTCCTACGGTCCTACACTCTATAGAAGAAAAAGAGGAGCCCAGCAAGGAGCCGCGAGTGTGACATGGCGCCGGAGTGCTGGCGGCCGAGCTGCAATAGGTGACCACGGGAGTGCAGGAGCCCAGCATGGTCACAAAGCTCACGCTCGCCTGGCATCCGCTTCGCCATCGGCGGCACTGGGGACCTGGCCGACCTCCCAGGCGTGCCACCGCCCTGGACCTGTCTTCCCAGCCACGAAGTCAGGCGGCCTTCCTAGTCAAAAAAACGCACCCAAATATACATCCTTGTCAGAATCTGAAAATATGGGGAGCAACGCATTCTGTCTTCGAATTGATTGTGGTTCGTTGAAAGGGTTGCATTATCCAGGCGATACGCGGTGGGTTCACCTGCTCTCTGCCCCAAAGAAGTCTCCAGAAAAACATCCGAACACATCCGAACACCTGTATGTAATTTGCCTGAGTTGTGAAGCAAGAGAACACTCTCATGAAAGCTGCGGAGATCTTTCATGTCAAAAAAACTCAGGAAGACAAAACATCGGGCACGATGTCCTCTGAAGACTCAAATTCATCCTTTCTCCCGCAGCCGGATGGCTCTCTTTCGTTCTTCCATCACTCGTCCCCCACTCCCACCTGCGTGAGAGCGACGTTGTGGAGCAACACCGCTGCGCCACCCGCCACGGAGGCCGGCAAGGTCTGCAAGGCCATCTGCCACTCACGCCGGGCCGGTGGCCCAGCAGCCAGGGCTGTGAGCATGGTGAGCAGCATGTGGATGGCCTCAATGACCGGTAGAGAGTCCGATCTATGGTGCGACTGACACCGAAGACCCTTGGTCCCCAGGAGATTTGGAAGTTGTTTTTTGTATTATGATGTATTATGACAGGCGCAAGAGGAGTGTTGTTCCTGAAAGGGATGGTTTCAGATTGGTTTGGCGCATCTCAAAAAGCGCGATGTCATGTGGGGATGTCATGGGCCAGCTCCCTCATCTCTGATTGGAGGTGGGAGACCAGAGCTGGAGAGGCGATGAAGTCTGTATATAGATCAGAGAGTCTCTTGGTGTTCGTCTCTTGGAGAGCATGGACCTCCAATCCTTGAGGTCCTTGCAGCCACTTTTGGCGCATGTTCACCGACCCTGGGTGTTCTGCATGAGTCGTAGGTATCACGTGTCCCAGTCGTGGCTCTTGGGTTCTCCTGTCTGGTTCTTTATCTGAGACATGCCAGCCTCATCTGCAAACAACAAATGCTTGAGTTGCACAGGCTGATGGAAATCAAAGAAAACTCATTGAACACATTCTGACCTTCTCCTCAAACTTCCAACCCGTGGAACACGAGTCATGTGATAACACATCACCTTACCGACCTGGTCAATGTGCCTCTAAAATTGCCCAGTGGCTGTCAGAGTGTATGGGTAGGGCAACCCATTGTGCAGGGCTGCCTTCATTGCAACTTGGACCAGCGTCAAGGACAGCAGAAGTGTAGAAAGCGCAATGAAAGCAGACCAACCCTGGCAGACATGGCGGATCGAATTATGAGTTTAGGTTTCTGGTCAGGAATACAATATATATATATATAATAGTAGTAGCAGCAGCAGTAGTAGCAGCAGCAGTAGTAGCAGCAGAAAGAACATCTTAGCCATATCTTTCGCCAAAAAAATTACTTGCGCGAACTCGAGAAAACATTTTCACCAAATGAGGTTTTGACATGTTCCAGGCTCATCGTAGTCAACGCTATGTATTAGGACCTTTAGATCGACAACCATATATTCACCTTCCGTTGAACGGCATGTCACACTTTCAGACAGTCAAATGAATGGAAACGGGATAGACACTGGAAAATGATGATTGGCGCCTGATAGACAAGCACCGGAGCCAATGCCGCAACCACCTGCGTTCACTGCGTTGACATCGTCTGCGTTGACCAAAGGGTGTTGCACTTGGAGCTCTTCAACACACCCTGGGCGCAACTTCTGGACATCCTTCTCCTGGACATCCTTATCCTCAATTCACCTGAACAAGTACCTGAACATCCTGGACATCCTGCAACGGAACCCGAAGCACTTCTCCCACTTCTTTGGGCATCATCGCCGAACCAGACAGCAAAACCCCTCCCCCCTGACACCCCAGATGCCCCGTCAACGGCCCAGACCCAAACGACCGCTCCGGAGACCACCGACAGGCCACCAGCGCTCCCAAGATCTGCGCGCAGATCAGCTTGCTCCGACGCGTCTCAGCACGAAGGCGGGGGTCCACCGAGGAGAAGGCCCAGATCCGGGCTCCTACCGGTGGGAACGGCTAGTGTACCCTGGTGTTGGGGGGAGGAACGGCTGGCCTGGCAGATCCAAAAGTTTTTAAAGATGAATCATCCACCATCATCGCTACTAGCAGCAAGGACGCTACTTGAAGGGCGCCTGGCATCGCTACTAGGAGCAAGAACGCTACTAGGAGCTACAACGATATACAAAGTTGATCAAAGTTGCATGTCTTTATAGCAGCAAAGATCCACCGATCTGGTCACCTTCCGAATCAAAGTAAGGGAGGTAAAGCAGATTAAGCAGATTCGCCCACTTCTGTCGTTTTACACACAATATCTGCGAAAAAATCTGGCAAAGCCCATGAACATGCGTTAAAGAACACTTCGGCATGGCATCTCCTGTGGAGTTGCCGGCAGCTAGTTGTTCATTCTCCGCCAGCTCGGCACCTCTCATTTGGGTTCAACACACATGTCCGCAGTGGGAGATAGACCACAAGTCACAAGATCTGCGAGCACCGCGGCTTGCTACTCAAATTTGATATTCCCCAGTCTCAGGGAAGACAAGATCAATTTCTTGCTGATGTTAATGCTTCAGTACCGTCTCGCACCTTACCTTTGCATGCTTTCGGAAAGACATGAGGTGTTTTCTGCTTGGGTTCCACCCATCGATGTGGGGCTCACCATGGGAGCCCTGTCCCCCCAATCACCCGCCCAGTCCCTGGACGACACCCACCTGGACTTGGCCGAAGCTCTGCCTCCAAAGGGTCGAAGCGACGACCCGTCGCCCGGCGCGGTCTTCTGCGCCACCCCGGACGTGCGTGGCGGTGGCGCTGGCGGTGTCAGACATGCGAGCTCCACGGAACTCAAGTGATGTCAATGTGACTCCAAAAATGTCCGAAGAGGTCTCAAATTAATTAGTAAGTTAGTTGTAGTACATGGTGTAGTCCAAGACAAAACACCATCCGGACGAGAAACTACTTAGTAAGCTTTCGAAGGCGAAGGCCAGGGCCATGCTTCAACCTCTTGCTGACATCAGGAAGTGTCGAAGTCGATCTCCCCTGCATCCCACCTTCAGCAAGGCGGAGTGGGTTTGTCCCAGGCTGGCTTGCCTGGCACTTTGTGGAGCAACGAATTCAAAGGTATCGAATATCGAGTATCGATCGTCCTTCTACATCCTACAATATTTTACCAGAAGATGCCATGGATGTTACCATGGATGCCCAATCTCTGAAGCCACGACCATCTCTTATGGTTCCTTCAGTGCTGAGTTGTTCCTGGTTCATTCTGGCCAGTTCCCTGCCTGACTCCGCTGACGTTCTGCTCCGATGGGAGCAAACGAGATCCTCCACCTTAGTGGCAAGTCTTGGGTTTAGTCGGAATCGATCATCTGACATGCCCATCCTTGAACCGCTGAAGCAAACAGAAGGAACCCCGTTTTCCCAGATGCCTCGAGAAGCCGCCCAAAAGCCCCTGGTTTACTGAGCATCATGTGGCACCCAAACTTCGCCCAGTCACTCTTGGGGTTCACTGAGGAAGAAGACAGTCCAGGTACCTCAGTGCTGGGAGGTCACTGCATCAAGCTATATCAATGAAGGCTAAATGGAGGGTGTGGAGAAAGGGGGTCAGCAAAAATCACTCGTACGAAGTTAGTGCATTAAAAATACCTTCCACGAAGTGCTGCGAAGGTTTCTGGAATTTCGTTGCAGTCAGTTCTCCTACTGGCCCACCATTCCACGAACTGTGGACGAATAGCCTTGGGTTCTACGAATGTCCCACGCCTTCCACGATGTTAGTAGAATAGGTTTTTGCAAAACCCTTTCTGTGCACTACCCTTCCGTTTGCCTCTGAATCGAGCCATCGAGCCCTACGAGCCCTACGAGCCCTACGCCCCGCCCAGCGCACGAGAAGAACGAAGCAAGAAGCCAAAGACCTGGTCGATGGTCACAAATGTTCAGGAAACAACATCAGACGACTATGGGGAATGGAAAATGAGTGGACCGGACCGGTACAGCATGTCGAGCAGTTGATTGCAGTCTGAACAACGTCTCTCTTTCCCATCTTCGCATGGTTTTCTCCTTCTTTCAAGCCAAGATTTTGCTCATTGAAGCAAGCTCAGGTGTTCTTGGACTTTGATTGAAGGGCTTAGGGAGTTCTGAAGCATCGCTATGTTGTTCAAACATGCGCCGAAACCTGCAACTGAAACAACCAATGACAACCATTCGACATCACGTACGTAGCAAACGTGGTGTAAAGGAAAGTCTCAAACAAACCAAAAAAAGGATCGATTCATCCTGGGACCAAGGTGTTAGTTCTCTCTGAAGTCCATGAAGAGTCGTCGAGAGGGCAGGTTTACGAGTTCCTCGTTGTGTCCCACAAAAGAGTTCCAATCTGTTCATGGACACAATCTGTGACCAGGCCTATGTCCATGAACAATCCAGCCATGCACAGCAAACTTGATTTGTGCCTTTTCCAGACCATGAAGTCCAAAAGCTTCACCTCGGTGTGAACAACCATACCAGGTGCAATTCGATTCGTCGTACTCGGCTGTTCCAAAAAAACAAAAGCTCCAGTATAATAGTATAATTCAGTGTATTGATGCCAACAGCACTGAGATACATGAGAGCGGCTGCCATTTCATGGTGGTTCTCAGCGTCTTCCCATGTTGATCGTCGTCCATTGATCATTCAAAACCCTTCAAACCCGTTGCGACCGTCTGAAACGACGAGCCCGGCACGGCCAGGTCAGAGGGTCGCGCCACCGCGACATGTGTCGCGTAAGGGGCTGACTTAGATGGGGGTCGCTCACAGCCAGATGCTGGTGCTGCGGCGTTTGCGCCATTTCACGGGCGCAAAAAGAAGGGACGAGAGACGAACGGTCCACAGCGTGAAAGAAAGCGATTTAAAACAAGCGTGAGCATAAGACCTATAGAAAAGGATTTGGTGGTATATCTTGCCACCCTTGTCATGTGTCATATCTTTCAGAACATACTATGAAAATACGAGATAATACAAAGATCAAAAACAGTTAATATATACCTGGGGTCCCACAAACCATCAAACACCTGGTTTTCCCTCGCAAAAACATGGCTTTTGTATGTGAAAACCTTTGTTTTTTCATGGTTTGGTTCGGGCCCCTGGTGTTAGTATAGACTGGACAGCAATGGAATCCATGGACCCTTCGAGACTTGTCCTACACAACCCCATGGCTTCCAGTGCGCCATTGATGCTCCCAGTGCCATTGTTCCATTCCACCTACGATACCGCTTCCATGAACATGAGCATAACATGAGCATATCATTGTGTTTCGCTACTGTCGTAGTGCCTAAGAATGCTTTGCTACTGTCGTAGTCGTCCAGCGTTTCATGTTTGTTGCTGCTTGCTTCCACCTGGCCAGCTACTTACAGCATTCCGTTGTCTCCAAGCATATAATAAGTGGAAGCAAAGTTTTAAACCAGTAAACGATAGTAAATCTCGGTATAGAGTTGGCCGGCCCTATCGGTTATCAATTCAGACATCCGAAAGGCAGCTCGCTACTAAAGTTCATGGATCCACAAAAAATTTGGTTGGTTGCTCATAGGAGTTTGTTGTCCCCTTTATCTCATGATGTCAAACCAAAATAATATTGATGGTAAATCATGCTGATTAGTTACCTTGCAGTGTTGCAACAAAAAGGTGCTGCAAGGGTGACTGACACTCTTGTACCGAGGCGAGAGCACCTTTCTCCGCTGACTCTAGGGCGTTTGTAGGGCGTTCACGAACTAAGCTTCCTAAGCTTCAGCTGCTCCTCGGCGATGACTAAGGCCAACCTTTAGCATCATGGTTTAGCAACAGGATCCTTTAGCAGCAGCACATGTGTTTGTCTTACTCCTGAGCCGTTTCCCTGGAAAATAGAGGTTAACCGCCCTTTTTCTACCTGATCTTGTTTAGTGGGGAAACCACTCCCCCAAAAAGGTTATCCACTGACTGGGCACGGTACGTCTTTTTCACCTTGTCACCTTGTCGTTGAACATCTTCGGTTGTCCGTTCACCCCAGCATCGCAGTTCATGAGCGGTCTCAGGGTCTCAGGGAAGGCCTTTTGCCCGGCCCTTCAATGGATGCTGGGCGAGTACCCATGGACTTCAAGTCCAGCTCTCCAATCGCTTCTTCCCTTTCAGTTCGGAACCTCGGCGATCGGCAAGCGGAAGTGGAAGTCTCCGTGTCTTTTCATGACGTTGTCTCATGTTTCTTTCATTTAGTTCGCGTGCTTACCTTACCATCCTTATAGTTGCCCTCGTTACGTCGCTTGTCTTGACCTGTTTTCCGTCTTCCCATCATGCTGAGACTGCAGCTTTGCACGCCATTCCGGGAGCTTCAAAGGTTTGCGAACACGATCGCTGACTGCGAGCGCCAGGGAGACCCCATCCGACATGCCGACGAAGTCTTCATCCATCCGAATAGAGTTGAGGAGAAAACTCTCCAAGAAAGGAAGGGCGTTCTGTGCTGCGTGGAGCTGCCCCAAAAACGAATGTCCGTGATGCCCCATGCCTGGAAAATCAGCCCAAATGAATTGGCCCGACAAGAAGCCTGGGCTCCAGCGAGGTCCGGCCAAACGGCATGGTTCATGACATTTCTGCCGGGCGCCCGGCGATCTGCATCCAACTGGAGGATCAAACCCAATTGCCGCAGCATGTACCTCGACCGAAAGGTGGAGGGTGCGAGTGGATGAAATGGAGTCGTCTTACATCCGGGGCATGTCAAGCGGCCTTAAGGAGGGTGCCAGTCTTGTATCCAACCATACAATGCATACCACAAGACTGGCATATGCATGTGGTTGTCTAGTATCACCAGTATTGTCTAGCATATACAAATGCATACAATGTGTAGTCAGGCCAACCACATGACGTGCAGAGTGGAGCACACTGTGCGCCAATGTCCACTGCTTTATGTAGTACCTCCCTGGGGGGCACTTGGTCAAGCGCATGAGACCCTTGTGGTCTTTTTTGACCTGTACAGTACCGCTGCGCAAACAGTGTCTGTGTCCACTTAGTAAACCCATGATGACTCTAAAGCTACCAAGTCATATCAAGTCAGACTCATAGCAAATATAATCACTAAATATATATATATATATTGACTCATCAAATCCTTAGCCGCCCAAGCACTTCTCTAGTGATATGTGCACTTCGCTTCCTTCCACTTCAGGCTTCACGTCACCCACTCGTACCGCACTCGGAACCCAGGAACCCAGGAACATACGCTGAGCTGCTGGCTGACCCTGAGTACATGTTGGCCCATAAACATTGCTGCACGCGTGCTGGCAACACGTCCGGCCTGTCCATCGATTCGACGGACCGTGCGACAACGGAAACACCAAGCCGGTGCCGCCGCAGCGAAGGCAACGGCCTCTCCAACGCCTTGTCCATGGCAATGCAGGCTCCAAGCATATACCTGAGAGTTCAACTTTGGAACATGCAACAGTGTGCCATTTTTTGGCACGCGAGTTAGGGCAAAAAAGAAGTGTAGAAGGCCGGGGTTCAACAGAAAGAAGGCGAGCTATTGATCATCTACTGGTCATTATTGGTCTATTTGATGTTGCTTGTTGGACGACCACTATCATCCGACCTACTGTACTGTACTGTGTCTTGTAACTGGACAGTCAAGAGACAAAAGCGTGTGACATCCCAAATCTGAGCCGATCACTCTTGCACATTCTGCAACTCTGCATCAAATCGATATTCTGGGACTCTCTTGAGCACCAGCCAGGACCTGGCGAGAGGGTCTTTCGACTGCCATCTCAGCGTGGCAGCGTCTTGCATAAACATGCACTGCGGCCTGGCCATGTTCCAGCATTGCTCGAACAACTCTTCATCTATCTTTTTGGCCTGACACGGGTTCGGTCGCCTAAGATCCTTCACCAAATGCCCTGGACCTCCCAATCCGAATCATATATTGAATCGTATTGAATCTCTATGTTGATCAAAAACAACATATGAGGAGACAAGAAACACACCCCAAAAGGAAGGCTGCTAGCACGGCACAAGAACGGAGGATCAGTCCCGTCGCGTCTTTTTAACCTCCGCACGATCACATTCAGCAGATTTCCAGTCTTGCGAATTACAGCACTGGTCAAATCGAGCTTTGCGAGTGAATGAATGTGTGCGTATTTGGCTCCTCCACATACAGTATATATGCATAGATACAGACTAATCATTCTCATTGTCGCCAAGTCGGTGTCCACCTCCTGCAAAGACCGAGAACCTGTCCCTGGCGAGGTGAGGCGGGAAAACATTCTTCCACGAAGCAAACATGAAATCTTGCTGTGAATGGTTTGTAAAAGGACGGATCTGCAATAATATGGTATATAAGAATCGCTATGATATAAATAAATTATATAGTGATTATAGTGTATATAACTACATGAAATTATATGACAATGGTATCTGACTGTTCGAGAATTACTGTAAGCTTTGACAAACGGCTGGGCAAAACTCTGACCTACAAAAGGCAACAAGGATATGATATAGCGGATTAAACGGTAATTAGTCGGAGACCTTTCACACATCACTCACAGCAGCAACAACAAAATGATCAAACATGCCCATTTCGATTGACCTCCCAAAACATGGTCAAACGGTCAGCTGCATGACCTTAGTGTTCCACCATGGAACACCCATGAACCCCTCCGTACACCACATCCGTACACATACCTCTCCGTACACCACGCGTTGGACGCGTCCCGCACCTGTTGGTGCTCCCGTGATCAGGTCGTCCCCAATTGGTATTCCTCTCCTCCCGCTGCGTCACTTGGGGCCTTGGGGCCGAAGCAGCGCGATGCGCCGAACGGACCAGGGACGGATGTGCCACGTGTTTCGGCACCGGGTGGGGTGTCTGGAACAGAAAGAACTCTCATCCCTACCGCCCCTACCGCTTCCCAGACGGGGGCCTTGCGTAGATGGAGGCCATCGCTAGTAGGTTGGAGGATGTTGGAGGCATGTAAGTGTTTAAACAAACCTAACCTAACCTTATCCAAGTCCTGGAACTGGTGGTTGGTCACCTTACCAACCTCTGCTGAGCTCCTCTGCCCCAGAAAAGCGGGCCACCAGTCAGCGCCCATGAAGCGAACGAAGCAAGTGTCCTGGCGGCGACTCGGCGACGCGGCGAACGCGTCGTCGTGAGAGGCCCAGAGGCCCAGCTCGTTCCACTCGTTTGGTTCTCAGCCAGCTCGTTCCACTCATGTCTTCATGTCGACACGTCACGGTTAGGACTCGGTCTGCCTCTCCACAGCCTGCTGCCTTTTTTCTACAGTATGCCTCATCCTCAGATATCCTTAGCTCCCTGACTCCCAGATGTTCACGAAAATCCCTGGTGCGCTGTGGGCACCTGGGGGCCAGCACCATCAAGTCCAGCGGCAATGGCGCTGACTTCCTTGCAGAACTGCCACCTCGGCAGGGACCATGGGTGCCCATTGGCCGCGGATGCAACTTGAAGAGCGTCCTTTCACGCTTGACCCGAAGGGCCGAGCCTGAGGAGTCGCGAAATCCGAACGGAAGTTCCAGCAAAGAAATGATCGGGTGAAAGCGTTTTGTTGAGGATCTTCCTGGATGTGGTCGTTCCCTTGCTTTTCGGCCCTCTTCTCTTCCGCATGTTTTTTGGCGGACACTGGGGCATCCCGCCCGCAGTACGCACCAAAGAGAGCGATGGATGGAGGCAGAATGGCCTTACTGTGAATGCAAGTCAATGCATGATACATGAATCATGAAGTCGTATGAAGTCAATGATATGTCGATACAAAGCAATATGACTTTTCAATGCGTCTCCAGGCTCCCTTCGACGCCATGCCACCGCTTGGAGATATATTGTATACCTGGACCTTCAAGGGGTGTCCTGTCTGGAGGTCCCGGATAGTAGTGTAGGGGCTTCCAGCCAGGTGACCCTTTTGAAGGTGCTGGTATATAATGATGTTTTCAATGTGGCCTCTCCAATTTGCATGATCTGTGACAGGTGCGACAGGCATCCGAGAATCCGGACCAACAGAGGAAGGAAGTGAACGGGCACGCCCTGCAAAGGATCTGAGTCTGTTGAAGTGCTGATTGGACCGGGTGTTTTGAGTGCTTTTGGCCAGTTTCGTACCTAAATTGCGGCATGATGCATGAAAACAAGGCTTTAACAGGATGTACCAGCCTCTTCCAGTGATATCAGTAGCATGACATGACTGACAAGCAGTTTCAACATTCCAACGTTGAGGACCTCACTGCGAACACCTGGCCTGGTAGCCTTGCAAGATCTGCAGAAGGGCCAACAACCTAACACACACATTCGTGGAAATATCGACGGCCAGGCTGCCATGGAAGTGGATAAACATCGCTAAACCATGCAATTCACATTTACGTGAACGTCCCAGCTGCCGGTGATTTTTTCGAGCAGCTGATTCACCAATCCGAATTTCTTTCACTGGGTCACTGGGCTATGGATTGGGCTATGGCACAAGTCCAAAAGAACTGCAGGGGTTGGTCGATGCTTTCGTTGTGTCGGTTTGACGGTGTGCCCCGTGTTTTCGTGTGCCACACCCACATGACCCCAACGCTCCATGTCTGCCATATTTGCGTACATTGGAGTGCTGGATGGTGGTTGATCAGGGGTTGTTCCAAGATGTTCCAAGTGGAGTTTCTGTGTGGTTTCAGCATGGCTGCGTTTTTGTAACAAGCACTGAGAGCACCGAACCCATTGAAGCCACAGCAAATGATGTAGGTTGGGAAGAAGCGATGTCCTTCCGACCGGAAAGACCGCAGCCAGAACCGCAGCCCGAAACGGTGAGGGTTTTAGTACAGTATGTTTATGTATGTTTTAGTAGGTCAGTTCACCTGCTCGCCCGTCCTTCAGGCTGAATGGCATAGGAGCCCATGGCACACAGAACGCCATCGTACCTCACAAGGAATCTGCCCCTGCAGAGGTCCCAAAGGTCCACATCATGGGCCCCAGGTCACCACGGTCGGGTTGGTGATTCGTTCAACCACCAGGTCCATCCGAGTCCATCCGGTTCCAGCACTGGTCCGGTTTGGGGGAGCTAGCATGGCACCGCTGTCGATCTTCGACCAAAAGTTTGGGTTGCCCCAGACGCCAAGACGCTTCGTTGTGCTTCAGCAGAGGCAAGTTCTCCAGGGTCGTTTCCCTAGACGCCAAGACGAGTTCGCCATAAAGACGCCAAGCAGAACAGGCCTGTTTTGCCCCAAAATTAACCGAAGGATGCAAAGGGTGTTCCATTCTCAACTCTGGGAAACCACTCCATTCGGGAGTTCTGGGAGGCGAGGCATCCCTTCTCACTGGCTGAGTCCGAAGGCAGTACGCCGGGGGCACAGTCCACCCACAAGGTCGCCACGAGACAGCTTTAGCAAGGTGAGAATTCCCTGGCTGTAGACCTGAGCCCATCGAACACCCAGGACATCGTGGCGTTCGAAGTGGTGAAGGCAAACCGAGTTCCGTGAGGTTCCGTGATTCCGTGCGCGAGAATCCATCATTGCCTCCTAGGTCAGTGGATTTTGGAGACTGAAAACACTCCCCAACAAGCTCAAACGACGTCAGCTTGGATCTGGATTTATCTGGAAGACCTCACACCAAAGTTATATCCCAATGCCAGACTTCACACCCCACACCGCGTCATACCGCGTGATCACGGCCCCCCTGCGGTGATCACGACTCCACGGTGAAAGGCCTGCGTCCGGACGCGTCCGGACGCGTCCCGTCGTCCCGACCGAAGACGCCCATTCGACTGACTCCCAAGGCCTCTAAACCAGTCCACCCTAGACATCCCTAGACTTCCTCAGGTTTCCCTAGGAAAATGACACCTAGGCCCGGCCGACTTCCTCAGTGTCCAAAAGCCCTAAACCCTTCTTCCACCTGTTCAGCGTCCGATGATTAGCACACGGTGAAAACCACGTTTCACCTCAATGAGAAGAGTGGGGAAACCAATCCCCCAAAAAAGCGTTTGCAGGTTTTCCATGGTTGCCGGCAGATCCAAAAATAGAACATGCAAAATTCATTCGTTAAACAAAAAACAACTGAACATGGAACATGGTATGAACATGGTTTCCAAGTTCTCCATTGTTATCCACCCTCCCCCCCAAACAACGCGCGCTTTTGCGCATCGTCCGTCTCGGTCATCGGCTCCAAAGGAAGTCAACATGAGTTCTTTTTGAGAGATCCACTGGACTTGAGAAGAAGAGGCTCCATAGAAGATCATGTCATGGCGTGTCTCCTTCCTCGCCCTCTCGGGGTCGACGTCTGATTCGGTAACCAAACGGTCTGATTCGGTAACTATGATTCGATAACTAAAAGCGCTGATTCGATAACTAAAAGCGCTGATTCGGTAACTAAAACGTCTGATTCGGTAACCAAAACGTCTGATTCGGTAACCAAAACCGCTGATTCGGTAACCACAACCCGCTGATTCGGTAACCAAAGCCGCTGATTCGGTAACCAAAGCCGCTGATTCGGTAACCAAAACCGCTGATTCGGTAACTATGATTCGATAACCAAAACCGCTGATTCGGTAACCAAAACCCGCTGATTCGGTAACCAAAACCGCTGATTCGGTAACCAGAACCGCTGATTCGGTAACCAAAACCAGGAAACCAAAACCAACACATTTCCAAAAGAAGACACTGATGTCCTGGGTAACCAAAACCGCTGATTCGGTAACCAAAACCAGGAAACCAAAACCAAAACATTTCCAAAAGAAGACACTGATGTCCTGGGTAGTAGTAGTAGTAGTAGTAGTAGTAGTAGTAGTAGTAGTAGTAGGTGGTGGTAGTGCCACCAATGCGAAACCCCTCGCGCCGTCAACCATTAATTCTTACTTGAATGAATGTAAAAGCCCTTTGGATCC